CCTAATACTGCCCCCCATCCCACTACAGCCCCCCATCCCATTATACCCCCTATTCCCCGTCACCCTTGTACAGGGAGTGCCCCATGTAGCTCCTCCCCATGTGACCTCATCACAGACTACGCTCTCTAATCTCACCGAGGGCTTTCCGGTAGTCTCTATGAGGAGAGTGCGAGGTGTGCGCGGGGACATTGTCCTCTGATCCCTATGTTCCCTACGTCTGGCTCTAGTTCCGTGGTCTGGATGCGCTTCCGGCTGTGCGAGTCTCAGGAGGGGGCGGTTCCTCTTCTATCCCGGTAGAGGTGCTCTGGCTTCCTCCTATCACGGTGACCTCCAGGAGATGTGCGAGCTGACTCCCGCTCTTCCGTTCTCACGCCTCATCTTTGGCCCTTCACGGGGCTCCTTGACCTGTACGGAGTTTTCGGTTGTCTTTTCTTCGGCCTGCTACCCTTTGTTGCTAAGTTGCCCCCCCTCCCCTCCCCCAGTCTGTGGGACACCCCAACAGTCTCAGACTTCCTGTGTCCCTCAATATACGATGAGGATAATAGGATTTGTGTTCTTGGGGTTCATTGAGGGACGCGGGGACGCGTTTATAGATGCCAGCATCCATTCCTCCTGTAGGCGACAGCATAACCCGTCAGTCTCAGACTTCCTGTGTCCCTCAATGGCCTCCAAGTAAAGGATTTTATGGGGACTTCCTTCTCTCTTGCTACAGGAAGAAGGGAGTCTGGGGGTTCGGTTGGGTGACGCGGAAGTCTGGGGGCACACGCACATATATGTACACAGGTTGATGGTAAGCAACGCACGGATTGGCTGTATCGGTCACATGACTGCACCTGGAAGGTGGGTCGGTCGCGAACGCGCTCCCAGCGGGATCTGATGGGGACGGTGCGGACGAAGGGCGCCATCCCCTGCGCATACAGCTTAGTCTGCTTGTTCATGTTCATGATGTTCATCTTAATGAGCTTCCCCGGAGCTCCGCCCCTAACGCTGAAATAGAACCACGACCTGCAGGGACAACAAAACAGATCAGAGAGACCTCCGGACCCAGAGAGCGCCATGTGAGAGAGAGCGCCATGTGAGAGAGAGCGCCATGTGAGAGAGAGCGCCATGGGAGAGCGCCATGAGAGAGAGAGAGAGCGCCATGAGAGAGAGAGAGAGAGAGCGCCATGTGAGAGAGAGAGAGCGCCATGAGAGAGAGAGAGAGAGCGCCATGAGAGAGAGAGAGAG